CCCCCCCCCCAATAGGATGGACAGCCCTCTCTTACAAGTCACCAGGATGCTTTGATGGGGGAGTTGGCTTTAATTGTGTGCACTGTGATATCATTCTTCCCAGTTTGGGAAAGAGTTAATTCCTTCCCAAAGACCATAGTTGCCCTTGTCTTCTCAACCTGGTTCAGAGATGCAATAAAATATGAAGCAAATTTATGATCTGTTTCAAGCATTTTATTGCTGTATTTTTAAATTCATATATGCACATATAAGAACTATGATCTGTGAATAATTTGAAATGCTATAGTAGAATGATACATTTTAGATAAAACATAACCATATCTTTATATAATTGTCTCAGATTAAAATAAAAAAGAAAAATAGATTTCTAATGTGGACCAAACTGAAAAACTAATGACAGCCATAAACTGCTAACCAACCATAAATTAACATCTTCATCAAATGCTAAAATGGTATCAGTGGTTATATAAAGCAATTATTATTTCTCTTTATAAGTTTTAGAATAAAGTTCAGGGATATTTAAAAGATCCATTATTTACAAATGCTTGACAATCTTAAAAGATTTCATATTTTATTGGGAGGATGGTTGCAACTCAAATCTGCTATGTTAATAGAGGTGTTTAGAGATGAGAATTTAGATTTAAACATAAAAGTGCTTCATGGCCTAACCTCATTTTATGTATTCATCTGCTCTGACAATTACTGGAGAACTTGGTATAAGAATTTCTTTGTTAAAATTCCTTTATCTACTCTGAAAAGAGAAGACAAATAATAGTTTATTGTGGGAGAGCCTCAGATTGATGTCCTATCTCTTCACTGTAAGTACAGTTACATTCGCCAGGTACAGTCTCTCTGCAGAGGTATGGTAAAAATTCAGGTGCCAGGCTGAGCCTGTGCCCTCCATCTGAGCCGCCCATGAAAAGAAAAACGACTTTCCTAACCAGGCCTCCACAGAAACATAAAGAGCCATGGAAGAGAAAAGGAAATCAGGAAGCAGGGTCAGGGAATACCTACATTTCCTTTTGAGAAGCATCAGGCATACATATCTTTAAAGTGTAGATTTCTCAAGAGAGTGAAATTAAGTAAAATCTCGAATTACTCAACAAAATAAGCTCTTTTTAACACTTAGAAAAATTTTTAATGAAAACAAAACACTTCTTTGAACTATGGGGGATCTGAGTGGCACACAAACTCAAATTATTTCTGCCATTCCACGGCTAGTCACAGTATGTTGCCCTTGAGGGTAGTTATGGCGGATGATCATCTCCAAAGGTCGAAGATGAACTAAGATCTTCCCTGGCTAAGTCCTACGACCACTCTTGAGTTTAACTTTTTGCAAGCACTGTTTACTAGGAGGACTTTCTTCCTTAAAAACAAGTATTATTTTATAGTTTTTCTGGAAGTCTAGAACTGGTTCAAAATAAGAAGTTTTTACAAAATGAATACTTAATTTCAAAGCATGAAGGAAATATTACCTCTTGTAAACTTTTAGATTCATAAAAAAGTTCAAAAGTGATTTCAAATACTTAAAGATATTTCATTTAAAGTATAAAACAAAGCATTTATAAAACAAAATATATGGGCCAGTCCTTAGAAGCTATGGAATAAAAGTACATTGCATTTAAACATTGAACATGTGATCAGAACATTTACTAAAATATGTGGGTTTTCGTGTAATAATGACATATTTTATATTCACTAAAATAGCAGTTCTTAGAAACAAAAGTAATAAGGAGCTAATGCTCTTTTGAGAACAAAAAAAATGTCCAACTAAAACACAGCTTATATTTTTAAGTGTTTAAATTTGACTCAGTGATAAATCATTAAATATTAGCACCTTTACCTGTTACTTATATTCCCTCTAGTTTCTCCTGCAAGCACGAAAATGGTGTAAGGGAAACAAAATGCTATCTCGACATTTACTTTCTGTGTAGTCTGCAGTATAGCATGCTCTCCTTATAAACGTGAATACAGTTAGAAATCGAGAACATACACTACACCTCAAATAATTAACAATAAACTGTATCAGACTTAAAATTATCCGGCATACCCAGGGTGTATGTGCTCTATCCAGCTATACCCTGAATGGAGGTATAATTACTCACAGGAACATGGCTAATTCCACAGAGAGTTCTGCAAATTTTTTGTTTACTCAATAAATGTTTTTAAGAGTAAAACTGAAAATAAAGATAATTATTTCATAAATTGCCCATTTAAGGACATAATTGACCTTGATTGTTAAACAGTGCAGAACGGACTAGTTCACATGCACACGAGCACCTTCAGAGTCGAAGGTGAGTTCCCTTAAAACCTTAATGACTCACAGGAGTGTTTCTGGCAAAAGCAGAGTAGCCCAGTGAAATCCTGTATGTCCAGTTACTGAAGGAGCCACCTTCCATTTTCATCAACAGCCTTCTGTATTATATGCTTTTATACAGTTTGAATTTCAGTTTTATGAGTAAATAGAATACTGTCCAAATATAATTGTTTTATTTGTTCTTTGTGGTAAAATGTTCTGCGGAAGACAAAGAACACATCCAATGGAAATCTCTCTCCTATTTCTTGTTGCTCTTACATATCTTTCTACAGAATAATAACAATTATTAAAGAATTATAGCCTAGCTAGGTCAGTCAGGTTAAAATAAACTTATTAAAAACTTATTATGGCCCTGGCCAGGTAGCTCAGTTGGTTAGAGTGTCATCCCCATATACCAAGGCTGCAGGTTCATCTCTGGTCAGGGCAGGGTGGTCAGGGCACATACAAGAAGTAACCAATAAATGCACAGATAAGTGGAACAACAAATAAATGTCTCTCTCTCTCTTTTCCTCTAAAACCAATCAATAAAAAAAACACTTAAAATTTTTTAAAAGCTTATTAGTCACTGATATTTTTTGGATCTGTGTTTACGTCCCACCTAAATAACTAAGCTAAAATATATTGGAAAATACTCTGAACAATGAACAGTGCTTTTAAGGGGAGTATCAGAAGATAAAAATATATGTATACATGTGTGTGAGGAGGGCTATTCAGACAGCAAAATTACTTCCTAAGTAAGTGCTACTTGTAATAAAATCTAACATGTTCCTCATAGAGAAATCAGACACGGTCATTCATCTGTGCTTTAAAAATTGATTTATTGAATTCCTGATGTAAATAAAAGAAAATTAAAGCATTTTTCTCACGTAAAATCTTAAGACAATAACCTTCCTCATAAATCCACATATACACCATTTTAAAATAAAAAGATAATATTAAGCAAGTGATTCAGGACAACAGTTTTTATAATATACAGCATTCCTCTGCTTAAAAAATATTTTAAACAAAAGTACTGCCAAATTATCTATTTAAAATTATGTAGTAGAGCTTTTTATGAATTAAACTTATCTTACTCAAGAAGGTATTATAAACAGAATAAACATTTAAAGCTAAAAAGTTCAAACATCAATGCTCACTGATTTAGATTAATATAGGAAGTAGAATACATAATAATTGCTTTAGAGAAATAATAGAGAGTTTTATGTGATCCCTCATTATAATTTAAAATAATGCTACAGGGAATGTAATCTTGGCTTGCTAACTTTTTCTTAATTGAGAATGCAAATATGAATACCTAATAATGCAATTCAAGTAAATAATAGTTTGCAACATTTGAGAATTTAATAGGTTAAAACAGTGCACATTCTACTGGCATATAATTCTTGTTTTATAATTATTGACATTATTTTACACTACAATCAAAACCTAGATAATTTTTAGCTTTGATTTGACACTGGTTTTAAGATTCCACTGTTAAATTAGAAGATGCTTATAGGAAAAGGTACCCAAATTATTTTTTATGGGAAAATAAGCAAATAGTAATCATGCAAATTTTGAGTCAGGAAACTCCTTTCCCTTAGACTCGTGGCCCAAAACTTAATGATGAAATGAGAGAACGTATAGTGAAGTGTGTGAGAAAAACCAAAACTAGTCAGATGAAAGTTCCCATAAGGGTTGCTTATCACATGCCTTATTTAGCGATAAATAGCTTTTATCCTATTACCTTCAGAGCATTTAGTTTTTGCTAACTGAATGCATCATTACTGTTGGTCATTGATATAAAACATTACTAGTTATTAATTTCCTTTCATTTGAAACTAAGGGGAGACTTACAAATGAAAACATGGGTTTTTATAATATATAAAATACAATTCGAACAAAAAGTCTGAAGTCTCAATGACTGTATTTGGTTTTGCTTGTTTTTACCCTACAATCATAATGCCTGATGTATATGTTTTAATGTGTATGATTATGCACAGAATAATTGCTCATTACAAAACATTACCGTAAAATAAATGATGGAAGGTTGGTTAGGACAAGTGATAAATCCGAATTTTAGAATAGTTTTAAAGAAATGGATTTACTACTTACAACTACATTGATAATAAAGTAGCTGTGAAGACGTTGCTTTCTCTAATAAATTGTGTGTTCTTGAGGAAAGGTAAGCTAGTGCATAACATCACATCTAGAATAGAAGCCATGCTACATGAATGATCAAATCAATGAATAATGCATTAACCAATGGCAAAAAATCGTTCCCTTTTACAAATACATAAAAACAGTTCTCCAAAGGCACAACATTGTTAAAATCTCTCCTTTACAAGTTTACGTTTGCATATTGCATTACACTTTTCAAAATACGTTCACACCTCTTTCTGTGTTTAATCCTCATAATGAACCCTGGTGTTGAAAAGGCCTTTTTATTTTTATTTTGCAAATAAGGAAACTGAAGCACTGAGAAGCAAAGTGACTTGTTGATGATAACAAACCAGTTATGTCATAACTAGAATCCATGTCTTTTAACTTATTTCATCATGTCATTTTTTTCTACCCACAAACACTCTTTAATTTCTAGACTTAAGAGAGTCACAGGACTCTCTTGTTTTGGTTCTACTGTCCACTGCTTTTGTATAATATTTTCTCAACCATTTAATTTATTCTTATTTTCTATTCTAAATTCCTGTACACACTTCTAATTATAAATCGAGCAGAAATTAAAATGGAATACTTTCCTGCATTCTCTCTGCTGTCGTATCATAGAAATGTACTACTAAGGTTTCCCCTTCAGGTGCTATGGCAGGCTAGATGTCCTAGTGCAAAAAGGATGGGTATGCTTTGTTGCAAGCAGGAGAGAAAGACTAGGGCCTAAATTGGGTGTGTGTGCCTGTGTGTGTGTGTGTGGTACAGGGATTGAGGAAAGGGTGTACAGCAGCTCAGGGTGGGGGGTGGCTGAGCAGAGCAGTGGGAAGATAGTGAGGGCAGTTTTAGGTTGGGCTTTGGCCTCTCCCTCAAAGTAACTGTTCCACCAACAGTTTCCTGGATAAATAGATCATTAAAACATGATGGATGCACATTATGGAATATCAAATTCAGAAGGATCTAGTTTATAGAAAATGCATTTGTATAAATCAAAAACATCCACCCAAAATAATAATATGTTTTATAGAAAGATAAACATAAAACAATTAGAATATTTGCCTATGATGGGGAGGCTCTGATGGTGGGAGTTAGGGATAAAACAGATTAAGTAAACAAAGCCCAGGGGGCCTTGCTTGGACTAAGTATAGTTGTGTACCATGAACTAATGGGTATAGGGAGTAAGATTACTCAATCCTATGAACTTGAGGTTAAAGTAAAAAGAAAAAACAGACAAGGTCAATGGATGTGTTAAAAAGCAGATTCAATACACTGTACAGACAAAAAACTAGATGAAAAATCTAAAGAAATTACCTAGAATGTAAATTAGAAATATAAAATATGGAGAGAAAGGTATGGAGTAAGAGAATAGAGTGAGAGAGTATAGAGTGAGCATAGAGTGAGAGAATCTAGCAGAAGGCCAGAAAAAGGTAATATTTAAAGAGATAATGGATAAGAATATTCCACACTTGATGAAAGACACACATTCTCAGACTCAAGAATCACAAGCATGACAAACAGAAACTAAGAACATCGAAGACAAAGAGAACATGTTAAAGCTGTCCGAGAGAAAAGGCAGACTACCTACTGAATAATTAAACTAACTAAAGGCTAACCTCTTGAAAACAACAATGGAAGCTCTCACCCTAGACGTGTGCACCTAGCGAAATCATATTTTCAGAATGAGGGCAAAAATGAAAACATCTTCAATCAAGCAAAAACAGAGTTTAGACCAGAAGACCTTCACTAAAGAAAATTTAGAGCATGTATTTCAGGAAGAAGAAAACTAAATGCTAGAAAATCTATTGGCTTATTAAGTATGCTAAGTACTTTATAATGTTATTTTTAAAAATAAATTTCCTTTTTGAAACAATAGCACACTTCTGAAATATTAGAAGTTATACTTAATGCAGCATGAATTACCTGGGTTTCATTACCTGCTCTGCCTCTTTAGATACAGCATCAACATTTATGTCAGATGCCAGACAATCAATCACTTGGTAATCTGATACTAGAAATATCTGAATCATGGACACAATGCTGCATTGTGGCATATAACATTATATTCCATTACATAATATTGTAATTCAAAATAAAACAAATAAACTCCAAGTCCAAAAGGCGAGGTGTCAAGAACAAATACTGCTATCTAGTTTCTCAGTTTATAGAAGCATTTAGGAAAGACTTAACTGCCGTACTGGCACAATCTTATAGTTTACACTAAAGCCAAATTCTATAATCAATCCTGTGATGATTTCAACATTTGCTTCTACAATAAACCTAGTACTAATGTGTAGGGCAATTGCTGAATATATAATAGGTTTTGTGTGCTCTTTTACATTAAGTCTTACCAGTATCTAACTTGAACGTGAGTGGTCTTATATCAAAAGAAATTTTGTTCTATTGAGCCATACTATCCAAGTAATAAAAACATTTATGGATGATTAAATATTGAAGTTGAAGTATTTAATCTACTGCAAAACTCATTTAATGCAAACATACCCTGGTGATATAGATATTATTGATATTATACTTGAGGGGAATATTTCATTCCATCTATCGCATGGAAATTTAATTTTCTTCTCTGTGAATTTGGAAGTTGTTAGACTGCGTCCATTTCCAGCACAAATTTCTAGTAGTACATAAAGTGTGTATTTACATATTAGAGAAGAATTTAAGTGACTTTAAAAAATCCCACAGTGCCAAATCTACTGCCATCTATTTATTATCACTGGTGAAAAATCATAGTATGTAGACACTTAAAAACACTATTTTAAGTTTATTATTATGTTAATTGTGATGTCCATTTTCACACCACCATCTTGTTTTACTTTATGACCAAGTACAAAGTGGACTGATCTCAGATCAAATAAAAATAGACACTTTTTATAACATACGAAGCAAAGCAATTACATTTGCAGAAATTAAAAACAAATAGATGAGCTGACGACATTTAGGTTAGTTTTGATGGATCTCTTTCCTTCCCTTTTAGCTTCTTTAAGATCTGGCTTTGTACCTAAATAAAACATCAGAATCTGGGTGCTGAATACCAATTAAGAAGCGGCTATACTCTAGTTGTACAGGCTTATCATCCATTATTTCTAAATCAAAACAAGTTAAAAGTACAGCTAACAGTTGCTTTATTTCACTAATTGCAAAAAATCGACCTGGGCATTTGCTGGCTCCCATTCCAAATGGCAGTATGTAATACTTCAGCCTTTTCCCTCTTTTGAAAAAGGTGGTTTTCTTCTTACCATTTTCTACAAAACGGTCAAACCTGTACTCCTGTGAAGAAGAAACAGAGAGCATTAGAACAAGAAAGTTACATGAGATAGTTTGAGTTCATGTCCACAAAGTTGCCAGCCACCCTGCCTGTCTTAAACGGCATCTTTTAAGAAAATAAAACTCGACTAAGTGCAAATCACGTCTGAACTTTCCAAAAACTCAAATTCTACTAAGAAATTGCTTCTCCCATATAAAGTGAAATCCTATATGACTTTCCTTCCCAATTCACATTTCTCTCCGATGCTGAGTTTCCTAAGTATAGAGGCACTATCTCTACTTTTGTTCTCTAAGGTGAGTCTTGACTTGTGGGCACTTGATAAACCAATGTTGGGTAGAAGGTCAGGGCTCTGGCACTGCCACCATTGTCACTGAAGTAGGGAATAGGAGCTGCTAACTAAGGATCCATAATATGCTTCTTTCTATTCCTATTCGGTCAGCTACTAATGGGTGAAAACTATGAACTTAGGATTCAGTGCTGATGTTTGGATTCAATAGATATAAAATAATAAAATTCACATTAAGCACTAGAGAGGAGCTAAGCCACAAAATCAGTCTTCCTTGTTTTTTGATGTTGTACTGAATTTCTCCTATNCACTAGAGAGGAGCTAAGCCACAAAATCAGTCTTCCTTGTTTTTTGATGTACTGAATTTCTCCTACNATTAAGCACTAGAGAGGAGCTAAGCCACAAAATCAGTCTTCCTTGTTTTTTGATGTTGTACTGAATTTCTCCTATGACAGTTCTATTAGAATGAACTCTCTTTGGGGTAACTCTAGGGTGGCAGGTGTTTCTGATGTTTTCATAAATACATTACATTACTTGTTACAGAAAATGAGGGGACTGGTTCATCTCCGGTGTTTGGCCCACCATCTTAATTTACTCTCACTTGAGTTTGCAAGAGGAGACTGAGTGACCTTATTTCAGCGCATGGTGAATGAAACCATTGATTAAATTAACACGTGGCATGCATGAAAATGACCAAGCATTTCCTGTGCTTTGTGCTCATTGGCATTAGGCCTGTTCAGCACACAACTTTGATACGAACTACGTGAAGTGAAAAGCAAAGCAGCAGATCAGATGGAAAGCACTGCAGGTTATAGAGAAAACCCTACAATACGTGGGTAGATTCTGAATTCATCACAAATGACCTGTCTCATTCCATGCCAGTATCACGTCAGCAAAATCATTTCCTTTAAAAGTACTGGGTTAATCCTCATTTACCTAGGAGATATATTTTGATAAATAGTCAAGCTTAGGAAACACACTTTGGGTAACTTCTATTCCCCTCTACCTTGCAAGTCAATGTGCATTAGAACACAAGTGTATTTTCCCATAGAGAAATTTCTAGATGTGTGCGAGTAGAATCTAATCAGTTCAAAACAAAAATATCTCTTCATCTCTAAGAATAAGGACACTCTTTGTTGACATATATTTTGGTACTGGAGCTAGAGTTACTATATAGCACTCTTTCCTGGTGACCCTTGTCCACTACTGTGGCCCAGGCCTGCTTGCCCGAGTTCAGTACTGCTGCTTCCTGACCAGTCTGAGGAGACCAGCACCCCNCTCTTTCCTGGTGACCCTTGTCCACTACTGTGGCCCAGGCCTGCTTGCCCAAGTTCAGTACTGCTGCTTCCTGACCAGTCCTGACCAGCACCCTNTGTCCACTACTGTGGCCCAGGCCTGCTTGCCCGAGTTCAGTACTGCTGCTTCCTGACCAGTCTGAGGAGACCAGCACCCTTCCCAAGAGCTCCTGGCCTAGGCTAAATAGTTTAAGTTAATTTTGCCATGAAATTATTTGTTAGAAATGGTCTCACTGGAGTCCCATTGCTTAAGCTAGAAAATATAAAAAGGAAAACTGAGCTTAGGTTATGACTTCATAATGTCCCGGTTTCATTAGTAAGCCAGAAGCTGTCATGGCTTCACCGCTCTTTGTGAAGCTGAACATGCTGCCCTCGGAGAGGCCATGGCCATCTATGCATAATGGTCCCCTACCCCTGTGGCCTTAGTTAGTGTTTACATTCAGTTCGCTCAAATTTCTAGTCAACCAGTAATGTCAGTCCTCTAATTTTCCATCACATTGTATCCAATTTCCTCATATTAACATCTTAGAAATTTATATTTAGTTGAATATACTATGAAACAGTAAGGGAAAAGGCCAACTTCTTTTGCTGAGACTATCAAGGTCAAAAGGCACATAGGCATACACATATTTTTGAGTGGAAATTTATTTTCAGTTTGTTTTCCAATGCCAGAGCATGGAGAACCAGAGCAGGAAGTAATATTAGGAAGGGCTTGCAGCACCTGCTAGGAATATAGTCTGGTGTTAGCCAAAGAGAAGAGTGTAATAGTTTCATCCCTGAGATTTGGGGGTCACAGTGTCATAGAACAAAGGGTTAGGAAACTTGAGATGCACACTTTCTTTTGGAGCAACTTAAATACAGGATTTATCACCTTGACTTAAACTCTTATAACCATAATAGTTCGGTGCTTCATAATTAAAGTGGGTCAATTAAATGTAATATGATTAAGTGACTAAGAACAAAGAAATCGTAAGAGAGACGGTAAGACACTGAAATTCCCCATTGCTCCTCTAATGATTGTTGGGGATGACTCAATATCTTCCTTCTGCACAAGATTTGTCTAGGCTCCAGTGGTGGTAATCACATCCCTCTGGCCTCTGACTGATTTGGGACAGGGTGAACCAATCTCATCAGTGCTACAGGGGAAAAGTCTGTAGGGACATCTGGGAGAAGATCCTCTCTTGTGAAGAAAAACAAACAAACAAAAATGGTTCATCACTCTTTCTCCTCTGGACCTAGTTGTATGTGAATATGATGCCTGCAACTGCTGTGGCTTTCTTGCCACCAGCCTAAAGACAGAGCTAACCCATAGAAAATGGCAGCACCAAGAAATTCCAGGAGATTGGAGTTGTCATACTGTTTTATTTATTTCTGTATTTTTTAAGCACCCAACTAAGTGCTATGCACATAGTGGAGATTCCATATATGTTTGTTGACAAGGAATGGCATTCAGAAACAGAGAGATATGTGAAGGAAAACCATGGCCTGTGTTTGTAATGTAATATTCTAGGGTGTCTTGAGCTTGGACATCCTAAAACTATGCCTTGTTGGGTTGGGAGAATCTCTGTTCTGCTAAGGTTCTTCAGTGTCTTTGTGCTCTGAGAATAACTATAGTTATATCTGGAGTTAGTTTTCCTCATGTTTTTGACCCAATAACTATCGTCTGTTTTCTATATGTAAGGCTTGGTATTCCCATTCAAGATCTACAGTGTATAAAAGACAGGAAATAGGGAATATGACCTCTCATGAGCTCCTGGGTCAGGTCTCCTAGCGACAAATGGTCAAGGACAGATTTGCCTTCTTTACTGCTAGTGCATTGTTGTTTTTGGATTGGCATCTGCTATATAAGCATCTACAGCATCTTATTGCCATCCTAAGTTGTTAAGAACAAAAGGAATAAATTTATATGCCTGATAGTGGTAAATTCTCAGTAAATGTTTATAGAATGATTACCTGGGACCTTGCCAAATCATAAAAATGGTTCTGAACTATAATTATTAGTATTCCACCATTAATTTCAAGAAAGCAGTACCATGGCAAAGAATTAGCTAGTCAATTTTAACATTAGTCAGGCATAATTGACTAATGTTAAGTAAATAATAGTGTGCTCATCAACTTAAGTTAGAGCTACCCCGGTGATACTAAGCAGCTACAATATTGCAATTTTGCTCTTCCACAGGGTTAGTATGGACCCAACCCTTCTGATTACTATTAAGATTGGTCATATATTATGTAAAGTTCGGGCATTACTATTTACTATTCTACAGAAATACCAGACTATAAATACAAATCAGTGCACTTTCAATATTTAACTGATTTTTAACTTCCTGAAAGTCTAATTAATCGCCTTTCCTATCACTGAGGCTGGGTCAGCAGTGGAGGATTTGAGAAACCCAAAGAACAGCACCACAAATACGGTGGTGATTTAGTAAACATTTATTATTTGCTGGTAACTTTAATGTTGATTTTAGTATTGTAACATGAATAGTAAACTTAGTGACTATTGGAATAATCTTATAATGAAAATAATAATGTTAAATATATTAAAATTGTGGCTAGAAATAAAGCTATTTAAAATATTTTTCAAATATTAATTATTTATTTGCCCTATTTATTAACTATCTACTTGTGTGTGACAATTTTGATATTTACAAATGTGGAAATAAAGCCTGTTGTCTGGGAAATGTTCATTCACTCACTAATACCTTACTTCCGACTTGCTAAGATCATTCATTTAATGCCCCCTTTGAAACACATAGAAACCACATGTACATTCTCCCTCGCCTAAAATTTTTGCCTTGCGGCTAAAATCAATACAAATTATCTCATTGTATTTGAAGTCATCCTTTCTTATTAGTTTCCAAAATTCAACAATATTTTAATCCAGCGTGGCTGCATGACACCTCACTTAGAAACTGGGTTTAAAAGTGATTCAGCTTTTGAACTGCTCAAAAAGAGCACAGAGGTTTCTCTTTGAAAGATGGCATTTTATATACAAAAACTACTACAGCCACAGCATCACTTCTTGAGACGCACAGGCAGACTGTGACTGCATTCAATCTGCATGCAGGTGGTGAACCTCCGAACTGATAGTAAGGGATGAGCTGGGGTGGATTAATTTTCAGTCTTTGATATTCATTAACTCCAGCTTTGGAAAAAAACACAAGGAGGTAACACAATTACCCTCAGAGCTTCACCCGTGAGCAGCAGCTTTACGATCTCAAGTTCATAATGCCACACTAATTGACCAAGAAGGGGCACATATCTTTAGTAAGAGATGAAAAAGTATATGGGCTTAACTAAGACCATGATAGTATTTGACTTTGGGATATCAACCCCATTCTGGAAACGCTTAGCAAAATCATCATTATTTATTCTCTAAGCCTCCTGTCAATAGCTTGCCCTTTATGGCTTTTAACAATTCTCTGCCAAGCAAAACCTGATTATGCCTTAAAGGTAATGGTGGCCAAGGTACAATGTCCATTTCATTCGAAGAAACTAGCACTGAGTGTCATCACTTTATTCCTATTTATGGGTCAAGAAAACTTTAAAAGAGAGATCCCTAGGAAATGCTGCAGTAAAAAGGAACATTTTCCCATGGGAGGAAAGACAGAAGCCACCAAGCTGTCTCACATCCCATCTGGGACAAGGTGGTGAAGGGAAGAGCTAGAAAGAGCTCAGGAGGAAGAGGAAGGTGCCTGCAGGGCCTAAGCAGCAGCAACGCCCAGCTCCGTGTTCACTTACCTCTGGAGCGTCGAAGACTTCAGGGTCATAGTGCAGGAGGGGAGGGAAGACGGCTACCAGGTCGCCCTTTCGTATAAGGTAGTCCTGGGTCTCTGAGTGCACCGTCCAGTCCTCTTGAACAAAACGAATGATGGACGAAAATGAGCAGAGTCGTAAAGCCTCGAAAATGGCACTTTCTGAAGGAAAGCAAGCAAGCAACAGTTTCGTTTTGTTAACCTTTTACTTTTACTGGTTTTAAAGTATTTATTTATTTACTATTTATTTCCAGCACCACTTATCCCCCTCATAACCTCTGCCACTTCTACCCATCCCCTCTCCCTCCGCAGTCATCACACGATTGCGCACGGTCATGGGTTCTCTCTCTCTTCTCTTTTGCAAGCAACAGCTTCTTAAAATATGACTGCTCCTGAGGAGGGCCCGCAGTTGGCCATTAAAGCTCACCCCTGATAGCTCGGTTTGAAAGGGAAACCCTTTCCTGGTCACATCACTGAGCACCAAGAGGGTGGCTTTGCATGACCAGAGCGAGCAGGGGGTGGGCGGTGAGGCAGCTGGGGCCTGGCCTCAACACAGCTCGGGGACATTTCATAGACAGGCAGAAACAGTGCTGTGCTTGGGCAGGAAGTCATTAGTTAGGATTTTTGTAGGACGGAATGGTTTGCAGGAGAGAAATGCTGTGTTATGGGCATACCCATTGTAAATTAAAACCACATCCCAGTCAAACCACTGCTGGTGGGTTACTTCAGAACAGCTAGGCCTTTAAAGCCAGGTGGAGGCATTTAATAACCACTTAGGCAGTTAATAGTAAAGTGATTGTGGTGGTGTTTTCTGAGACAGCTTAACACTTAATTTCTTTTATGCTTGCTAGCTGTAAATAAAATGTGAGTCAGCGTTTGCTGGAAAAATTTCAAAGGGAAAATACTTTCATAGGATTCAGAAAAAAACCTCTTTCCCTCGCATCCAGGGAAAATAGCAGCCACCATCATAACCTGGAAGATTCCAGAAGCTGAATGTCCTTGCTTTCCCAGTGGCCTTCACCTTTTGCTCCTAGCACGACAGATTTTATGGCTAATTTCCGGCAATTTATCCTGGCAGTTTGAGGAGGAATTCCTTTGGGAATAATATGCATAATTTGCATAAATCATTCTGATAGCATGCATATCAGCATGTAGCTCCTGTCTAGGTCTGCATCTCTGCCTTCATAATCAAAACTGACTATATTTTCACCAGAGTGAATGGGTCCTAGAATATAAAGCTAGATTCTTTCTAATCAACAATGTGAAAGAGAACTCTGAATTGAGTATTTTCCCCTTCATTGGTAACAAATGGTTGTGTTTATGGCTTACAATATAGAAACACACACCATACACACACACACAGAGCTCAGTCTCCTAGGGTTTAGCAAAGCTTGGAAACATAGGTACCCGTTATTAGATTATAGAAGCAGACTGGTCAGTGAAGGCTTGCATCAGCCAAAAATTAAAAAGAAATGCTGTTTCACTAAAATTTAAATCCATGCATGGCTTGCATCGCAATATCAAGTAGCCTTGGGTGCCTTCTCCCAGGAGGATTTTCCCTAAGCATGCATTTGTCTAAAGAAACGAGGCTGCGGTGAGCTATGCGTGGGCAGCAAGGTGATTCAATGTGACGTACAGTGAGGCTGCCCGTATTCTTCTGAACTGCCTTCGTTATTGTAATCAGGCAGAGTCAAATCGGTTTATTGGTGATGAGGCCAGAAAAGAACTTTGGTTTTGGACCATGGACTCTCCTGCAGATAGCCACGAGGCACCTGACATGATGGATTTTAGCTGGCAAGGTACTGGCGACCAGCATTTCTACGGTGCAAATCGAGGGTTGGCCTCCCCTGTACGGCCATCAGCTCTGTTGGGTCAACAACAGCACAGCATCATTTTAGCTTGTGGTGTGAAGTGGTGGCTGACATATGCAGCCGCGCTGTTCACCCACCAAGTCCAGTAGGGGTGTGGGAAGAAAAAATACAAAAGCAAAATAATCGTGGGGTGGCTGCTGTGGCAGGGCAGGCATTTAACAGTTCAAATAACACGGTCACATCGGATTGGCGGACACGCTCCCGGGAAGCAGGGCAGCTTGTGCCCACTGCAGTATCACAAATGACAATTGGGCAAGCATATCTTATGCAGAAGTTAATCACAATAATGGAGCGCAAAGTGTGGCTTAGCGGTCAGATCACAAATGACAAATCTGTTTTACCTTCCAGTACCAGTTATGTGTGCAAGACGAGGTTGGCTCTCGCTCTGAGCGATCATGCCGATAATCATCAGACGACAGAAGTAATGAGTTGCATTATTATTAACAATGGAGAGTGGGGCTTCTGTGGCTCTGTGTTGCCACATACAGGCACAAAAGCCAGCAGCTTTTCCACCAGCCGCAGTAAGAATGCAGGCAGAGCTACATGTTGAGAAGAATGACAACTGCACAATAAAAAAAATTGCAGCCTGTACTTGTAGTTGTCATAGTTGAGCAGACACCAGCCAGTGCCACTGACAGACCAGCTGGGCCCTGGGAGGGCTTCCATGCTGCACCAGGAGGTACAGTAAATTATCCTGCACGGTAGAGCAACATCTGTTTCTGTGCTAGTGCCGAACAAACAAGGCAATTTAAGACATACCAAGGGATAACCAAGCAACAATTGAACATGACCCTCATTTTTTCCCACTTCTCACGCACGAGGTGCTAAGCTTCCGTGTGCAAGCACTCCACGAAAGAGAGGCTGGGTTGGTATTTGATAAGGTGTTGTCAGAGGCACTTTACATAGTTCCAAAATGGAAAGAAAAAGCTTATAGTATTGTTATTCTTAGAATCTTCCTTCCCCCTTCTATCTTTATTCCTTTTATGCCAAAGCTAGCACTCAGTTCTCAATTCGCTCTAGAATTAAAAAAAAAACACACACACAACTTTCCATATACTTATAAATATTCAGTCTTTAAACCTAATTTGCTATACTTAGTTCACATGCCTTCAAGCATTTGTCTTCCAATTTCCACTGAATAAATGCGTACTAATGAGAACTACAGCAAGCTGCTGAGGCAAAGCTGGGTGACTTGGGTCTGGCCTGCCACCAGCTTGTGATAGGCGGGCAAATTGAGTTAAAATGAAAAGTCTTGTCAGCTGAAATTCAACATGGTAGCCAAACAGCAAGCTGTCAATCATTCTGGGCAAAACAAGGGACTGCAGGTAATAAAAGGTCATTGTGATCATTAGTGCACTTGGCTTTCATATGCAAGTTAATTTTAATTAAACATGATCTCTATCTGTAAATGTTTTATAAAACTTATTGTACATAATGGATTGTTAATTTATACTAACATTTAGCAGTTAATAGGACCCTCTACTTATTAAGTGCATTGTAGAAAAACGGCTATCAAGAATGCAAATATTTGGGGGATAATTTACACCGGGCACTGTAAGGTGCGAACAATGGCAATGGTGATTAAGATAAGGCTGCCTGCGTTTTATTAAGAACTGAGCTTTACCGACCAGTACACACAAGGAAATTGGTTTACCAAATTCTCACAAGGAGTCTACAATTCAGAGCCTGCGCTGCCTTCTTCACCTGGCTGGGGAAGATTTGTTTCTCTTCAGGATATAAAAATATTCTGATTCAGTATCTGCTGTGGGCAAAAAGCTTGGGAATGTGTTGACCTAAGATGCTTTACAATGTAACTGTGAAGAAAAAGGGCAAGTGAAGGAAATGGTGGTAGATAAAGGCACATACACTTCCTCTTTGGCCTCAGATCTCATTCTGGCTGTAATAATTGACAGATGATTCTCATTTGCAGGTTTAAAGTGAGGAAGCAGCGTAGGACTATCAATAATGCATGTTACAATGCAAACACAAATAAGCACATCCAAGTTTCTGCCTCACACTTAAGCCATGTCTGTGTATGTGGAATGAATGTACTGTGACATGGCCAGGCTGTTAATTTGGGTCATCTTAATGATTGGTGCAGACTGTCATACCATCTGATTAGCCATGGTGATCAGTGGATAGCAGCGGTGGCTGGAGTGAAATGAACAGCCAGGCCCTGCCGCAGTCTGCTGGGGCTGAACACTTGGGCGATCTTAGGAAAAAGGTATGTGAGAAAGGGGGTGGGGGGTCGGGAGGTAGTGTGCTCTCTCAGAGGAGTGAGGGAATGGAGGGAATTGCCCAGGTGTGTGAGCAATTTTATGCAACTACCTGCCTTCAAGACAGCTGAGAAGGTAAATCTGACATTGTAATAATCAGATAATTTGAAGCAAAATAACTAGTTTTTGGCTCAACAATTGTATATTTTAAGTAAAATTAAAAATAAATCTGAATTGGTGCAAATGAATGCCTACTTTCACTATGCATTGCAGACATGGCCTTTGGTTTACTGCTAAAAAATAGGCATGTAAAGTCAATAAACATATATTCAATAAACATTTATTCAGGTCCCACTCTGCTCAGGGCACTGGCTGCTGCTGCCAGTGTGAAATGGTAGCTGACATGTAGAAAAAAAGAGAACACAGCGTGTGGATTTGGCCTTGAAGGACATTGCAATTTAGGTAGTTCACAGTTGGAAGGTACATATAAACAGAAATGCTTCCCAAGATCCTAGTGAAGATGTTGTGCAATTTCTGATTGGATATCTCCAATGATGGCATTCACAAAGTCCCTTTTAGTAGAAAGTTACTTTTTCCTACTGGGCTGAAATTTTTCTCCCCTTTAGAAAACCCAAAGGCAAAAAGATCCTGATTCTTCTTCCACACACCAGCCCTTTAAAAATATTCCAAGACACATAGCATGTCATTTTTAAGTTGTATGTCAGTTGCTTTCAGTTTTATGACATCCTGGATGAATTCAATTAGTAAACATGCCCCTCGATGTGGTGAATTGGGTGTGCTACATCAGTGGGAGAAGTAGAGGAGCTCCTTTCTCTGCCCTAGATACCATGCTTGTATTCATGTTTTGTTGGAAGCAACATATGAACAACATATGAACAACATTTTTCAAATAATATCACCACTAATTTGTTTTGAGCTTTCTGATATCCCAGAGGTTATCAGCACTGGCTGTCCATTAGAATCACCTGAGACAGTTATAATAATAATAATGATAATAATAATAATAAATGCCCCAACCAGACCAATGCAATCAGAATCAATGCATTGCGATCAG